GTGGCTCGTGAATCACGAGCTCGTGGGCCGAGCCGAGCTCGCCCACGAGCAAACGAGCGGAGCAAAAGCTCGGCTCGTTTTGTAACGAGCCACGAGCTCGGCTCGTAGGGCAACGAGCCGAGCTCGTGGGGCAACGAGCCGAGCCGGCTCGGCTCGGCCCATTGCCATCACTATGTGGGTCTAACCCTATACAAAGATCTAGTCTAGGTCAAATAAGGTTTCGTGCACAGGTACACACACAAGAGGAGAAAAGAGAGAAAAAGATAGGGTTTGAACTCGGCAAGTAAATCTTTTTCTTTTTCATTTTTCTTTTAAATTCAGTGATCTACTTCAAAATCCATTTGTATTTTTTTCATTATGATGTATGATTAGGACAAATGATGTAACTAAGTTTTCAACCTTTAATTTCAATTTTCCTGATTCTTGTAATCAATTGTTTCATATATTAATTTTACTTCTATTCTTCATGCTTTTAATAATTTGCCACTATTTTATTGTTTTTTGAATTAGTAACAAATCGAGAGGTAAGTTTTACATTAGATAGTGTAGTAAAATTCGACAGTTGAATTGAAGATAGATGTACAATTTTATTATTGTTGAGGTCCTTAATTAAACCAATACATTTTGTCGTAGAGTATTCAAATTCACATATGAATTTAGTGAATTGACTTAGCTAGATATTATTGATTTGAACTCGAGACATGTAAATTAATTTAATTAGTGAATTCAACGGAGTACAAGTTTAGGAATTGAACTTGAATGAGATAACTATGATGAAATCAAATCATAATTCACAATATCGTTTAATTAACTTTCTTTAGTTAATATTAGTTTAATCAAAGTATCATCATTGTTTGTTTTATTCAAAAAGGAGTTAAGAATAGTTAAATTAATAATTAAGTAGGCATTTCACATGAAAAAGATAATTCAAACTTTTTGGTCCATTATATTTCTTGTTTAATTGATATCGTATACTTATGATTGTCAAGCAACAAGTTTTTACCATTGTCGAGTACTATTTTATTTTATATTGGTTTAAATTCTTTTTAGCTTTTGTTTGATTTTCACCATAGTTGATTTTTCTCTTCTCATTTGAGAATATTAATAATGAAATCTGATGGCTCGTTTGAGAACACTTTTTAAAATGAACTGTAAACAGGTCGGCTCCGATATTATATTGAAGGCATTGGACTTTCTTACAAGATGTAGCATAAACCTTATATTTTATATATATTTGAGTTTCATTGGACTTTTTTCAACCAAAGAAAAAATACTTGATTATCCATTTATTTTAAGTGATTTCACACTCACCACTTATTATGCTCAATGATAAGGTTTCATTTTGATGATAATGAGTCTTGAAAAAGAAAGTTATTTCATTTCGTGACCCCAAATATGCATTGCTTGTACTTGAATAATGTCATTTATTATTTATCTAATTAATTTGGATGGTCTACAAGATACTGGACTCGTATGCAAAGCTATTTGAATTGATCTAATTATGATACGTTGAGCACAACAATGCATACCGTAAAAAGATCTTTACAATGTATAAATAAGAATAAAGTCATGCCGTAAATACTTACCTCTTTTACGGCATACAAAGTATGTTGTAAAAATAAAAAGAACGTTGTTCACTAACTTTCGTAAGGAGTGCGTGTAAAAAATATTTATCTTTTTACGGCGTTCATACGCATGCCATAAAAAAGATGTTTGATTTTACGGCATGTACTAGAGAGCGCCGTTAAAAAAATTTATTACGACATCCATATGAATGCCGTAAGAAAGACGGCACTTTTTACGGCATACATTA